AATCACAAACTTTGAGCAACTGTAACTCACAAACAACGAAGTTAGGACAAAATCGTTCTTTTTCTTTTTCGTTAGATGGGATTTTCTACCTCTGAAGCGAATCTCGGCTCTGTAGAGTGAAACACGAGCTCTCACCTGGAGAGAGGTCCCCTGGTTTAGCACTGAGTTCACAGCTTTTGGTGCCACGGGATACTACAAGAGCATAACTAGATGAAAGAAAGCAACTTTATCTGTTGCTAGAAGAAGAAATAGAGCTCTAGACTGCTCAGAAAAAAAGATAATTTTTTTACAAATCAATTAAACTGTGTGGACAGAATGACAGAATGACAACCCAACTGCTTAGTACCCGCCTACACAAGTGTGGCGAGTCCAATAATAAATTTTAATTAATTTAATTATACTTAACAACAAAAAAATTTTAACTTCAGTATTCTTTGGAGTGCAATCATGAAATTTTGGTATGTGGTACTTAAAAGGTATCTTTACAAGGTAATTGTTGTCTTACAAGTATTCCTTGTGAGGGAAAGTTTTTCTAAGGAATAGAATTATTGTGTTCAAAATTAGCTGTAAGTTCCGCATAAAACAGTGTAGCCTTGCTGTTTTCATAAATGATGTGCTCTATTGATCAAGCACCTTATCTCTCATTGTGGCAAGTCCATTGCTGTGATAGTTCTCTGATTCTATCCAAGTTTTCATGTATCTATGCACGCTACCACCCACGCAGTTGCTCAATGAACGAGAAATAACTTTATACACAATGGACCTTATGCACTGAAATGATTCTAATTAACGCGCACCCAAAGTGGTGGTAAAATGGCGGATTTTTGGAGGGAAAGACAGGCTAAACAATCTTCTCTTTTATCCATCCATTCTAGCTGTGGGAGCCACTTTGAGCTGTCCTCTTGTTTCAGTATACTCTATTTATCTCTTTTGTAAGCTCTTTGGTTGCTGTTTTGGCTTTTATAGCATTTTATCATAGGAATATTCTCAACCATTGGCCATTCCCGTTTTTCTAAATTTTGCTTTCAGGAGCCAGGGCGCTTGCCCCTCCATTGCTAGGAAGATAGAAGTGCATTCAGCTGAGTCCTATGACTAGTGTCTATCATCAGAGTTAGTCTCAGTCCATTAGGACAAGGTACGGTGGAATAACTCACTCAGTTGTTATTTTGCAGCTGGAGTGTGGATGATTATGACCATC